ACTCAAGACGAATCCGGGAGCTCATTATGCGCGACTAGCACACGCAGGACGACTTCTAGGGGACTCAGGCCGCCCCCTACCCCGCTAACCCCTTGTCAATTGCAATTCTCTTAATTAGTTTCTGATGCTGGTGCGTTTCACTGTACTTTGGGGGATCCTTGAATTCCCCATTTCCCATTTCCCATGCCCTCTCCTCTCCCTTGAATGTCCTTTCTCTGTGTTCTGCTGTTTTTGGCATTTTTCGTTCGACTTTCGGACAGTCGCTGATGTAATTTTCTGCTTGTTACGTTTCATTCGCTATTCTTTTTTTGTTTTGTTTTCTCCCTGCTTTTCATTTTAGTTTTTCTGCCTTTTTTGTTTTGCCATTTTCCGGAGAATGAAAACTGGAAGATGGAGTTTGTGTTTTGGCTGCTAGGAATTTATTCAAATTGCAATTTAATTGAAATGTTTTGTCATTTGGAAGCTTTCCCACACACAGCCAACCACCACCTCACATGCACATACACATATACATATTATATATGTCTTTCCTTTTTGACTTTTTCCAATTCGCTGCGGTTCCCAATTTTCCCCTGGCTTTTCCCATTGTTCTCCTTACATCTTCTTCTTCACTTTCTGTTTATTTATTCTGCGGCTTACTTTTTCCACAGAAAGCTACAGCTGCTGGCCGAAGAACAGAGAGAGAGCGAGAGCGAGTAATTCTGGAATTTTAAGGAATTTCAACTTGAAAATATCTGAGTAAAAGGCAACATTTTCCATTTCCCCAAGAAACTATTCCATGTTTCTGTAGTTTTCTTGGGGGATTGCCATTGTCAGTTTTCTGCAATTTAAGTTTGTTATTTTTCCGTACATAAGAGAAGTGTCTTAGTTTCCGTTGTAGTGCCCAACTTTCAAGAATGAAATTTATCCAGAAAATTATTTTTCAAATATTTTTCAAGAGCCATTAACTAAACCTCTAAACCAAACTAAAACCTCTTAAGGTATTATTGGGAAATATTTCACCATTTTCCTTCTTATTACAATTTCCCAGACAAAGCCATGATGATGTGAGGTAACTTTCTGGAAAACTCTCATATTTGCTAGCCCAAAAACCTTTGTGGAAAAGCAATTTAATCGCCGCCTCATCTGCTGGGGAACTTAAAACTTTTGGCTTTGTGATTTATATATATAGCTTTGCCTTCCCTCGATTGTCTCTTAAACCCTTACCGGACATGTGTTTCAGCAGTTTGTAAGTGAAAAGTGCGAAAAGCGTCTGGCTAGCTAGCAGCAATGATTCGAGGACAGGAAAAATGCCCAAAAAGGGGTGAAAAATAAATCTATATAGGAAGGGGGATGTGTGTATATATCTAGATAGAGTGGTTGAGTGTTTGTGAATCACAATATGCTGCTATAACACGGATGCAACAACAACAACAACAAAAAAGGGGAATAAATATTTTGCCAGCAATCACAACGATAAAAACAATAACAAAAGCAACAACTAGCAACCACCAGCAACCAGCAACTGCATGTTCAACGCAGTTTTCTAGCCTAAGGATTGTTGTTGCTGTTGATTCTTCTGCTGCTGCTGCTGCTGCCACTCTCTTTTTCGGCCTGTAAACCAATTTGCCAAAACCTGAATAACAACAACAACAATAGCAGCAGCAACCGGGCCAAAATGCAAAATGTTATAAACTGGCCAAAAACGAGCAGTGCAAAGAAGAAAAAGAAAAAAAAAACACAAATGCATGCACACACAAGCCACGGCACGCCAACACAAACGGCAACAAAAATTGGCATTTGCAAAAAATCATTTTCTATATACACATACATATATAAAAACGCACTCACACATACTCATACATATACATACATATATAGAGGAAGCAAGAAGAACAATAAGTAAAAGCTGCTGCCAGCTGATGGGGCAGCAGGGCAGCAAGGCAAGAGAATCCTCTTTTTTCCTACTGCAAAACACGAGCTAACGAAATTGAGCTGCCGCAATGCCCACAGAAAAATAGAGTGGCATGGCCCAGAGTCGAAGCCGTTCTACCCTTCTGGCCCCTCTGGCTATTTCACACCACTGGCAATATGCAACAAACACCCATCCCCCAACCCGTCCCACACCATCAAGCTTCTGCAACATAAACCAAAAATGCAGTCAATACAAATATAAATAACTGGCAGGGCCAAACAATCAAAAGCATTTCACCCCCGCCTACCGAATGAACCACGCCCGCTCCCCTCTTGGACATACACTCCCCCCATACACACACACACACACACACACATCCGTTCAGCAAATGCGTGTTCCCTCCCCCCTTCCATGTGTTTGTGTAATATATGGAAACGAATTTTCGGCGTGATTGCATCGCGAATACACGGCGTATACGTAATGCATTTGCAAAATGCAAAAAACTGCATCGTGCAAGTTGCTACCTGCTGCTAGCACCTTGCAACTTGCAATTTCTGCAACGGGCCAGGCGCCAGCCTTAATGAACATGCAAAGAGGAGAGGGCTCTACCTCAACTTAATGGAAATTTTCACAGCGGCCAAATTGGTTTTGGGGGCAGGGCAGGGCGTTGACTTGTTAAAAACTTCAGATCCCTTACATCTTTATAGGATTTATGACCACCCCCCCACACACTCTCCCATGTGAGTCCTTCTGAACGGGCAGAAGTACAGGAGGCGGCGGAGGAACAGATGGAAATCGACTAGCAGCCACCCTCGGCACTTGTTCATAAAAATGTTTGCTCATTTCATCTGCAAATCCTGCCTGGGAAATTCTGGGCAAATCAAATCAGTGCAGTCAGGCACGTTTCCACGGGCCATTAGCCATTAGCCATCTCCGTTTTGCCCAAAAAAAAAAACCAACCAGTCGGCCACGCCTCTTCTCCTTTTCATCAGGCCCTAAAGGGAGGGAGGGAGGAAGTTATAGGTATAGGAAAAGCCAGCTTTTGGCCAACACGTTCGGTCGTTCGTTCGTTCGCTCGTTCGTTCGAGTGTTTGTTTAAATTTTCGAAACCTTCTCATGGCAGCAGCAGCAGCAGCAGCCGCGATCATTTGACCATTTCTCCCCCCGCCCCCCATGCTTTCTGTATACTTTATGCCTTATCCACGTGGCCGAAAAACCAAAGCCACTATTGCAACAATGAAAAACTGGTAATAATATTGTGGTAATATCATTTCGCAATTTAGTTTTGCCCACAGACACGAATCCTCCAACAACAATAGAAGCCAACCGAAAAACTAATTTCACAAATATATATCTATGTATATGTTAGGTATGAGTGTGTGTGTGTGTTTGTGTGTGTTTGTAGGTAGCTATAAACACACACACACACATACACCCAACCCATTCGATGAGTGTTTTTGGTCCAATAAAACTGTGTTTGTGTGTGAAATTTTGGGCCAGCAATGGAAATGGAAAATTGCAATTAAATTATTGCACACACACACACTGAGAAAGAGAGAGAGAGCCAGGAAAAGCAGGAAAAGCGGTTGAGCTCAGCACAAAAATATGAAAATAAATATTAGTACGGAGATCTTACAATTTTCCACAGCATTAAATTTCACTTAGCATACACAGAAGGTACAGGCAAAGCTTAGAAAAATAATATAAAAAGAAGGAGGAGAGTGGAAAAAAGAAAAGAAAAAGGGAAAAGGAAAACGAGGAAACGGCCAGAGCAAACGGCAAGCGTAAAAATAGTTTTTCCCATCGCGGAGTGCAGCTCGTTAAGCGTCGGAATCTCGACTAGCCCCTGACAGACGCTCTAGATAAAGGATAACGGCGGCTAAAGGATACGGAATTTGGTTTCAGAGTGGGGCGATGATGGCATTGCCGTTGGCGTGGCAAAAATTGAGCAGCAGCAAGTTCATGGGGCAATATGAGCCTGAAGGCAGATATACTCTCTCATGCAAGTTCTTAAATAATAAAGCAAAGTGGCAAGAGGCATTTTCTTGTAATTCTACTTGGAAAATGGAAAACTATTTGGAAATCTTTATCACTCATAACTTGTCAAGAAACTCTTTTAATCGCTGTATAACTTCTAGTCGATCATTTACGTTTCTGAGGAAGATCTTTATGTGGAAGACAGCTAGCTTAGCTCACCCTATGGAAGTAAAGACGGAACTCTCAAGACACAAATCAAAGTTTAAAGATAAAAGATGAAAAATCAGAGATTGCTTACTCATCATCAAGTCTCAGTAGAGAGAGAGAGAGAGATTAAAGATCAAAGCTCACAGTTTGTAGATCCCAAATTACAGAACACAAATCACAGATCAAAGATCTCGGTTCAAAGATGAAAGATCATAGAGTACAGATCTCAAATTAAAGATCACAAATCTCTAACAACTCATCACTGATCACAGTAAGCCCGGCCATAGCTGTTAAGCCTTTAAGAAATATTCTTTATTAAGATAATCCCGTTAGCCTAAATCTGATTTCTGATTTCAAACTTCATAATTTTTGGAAAAACCCCAAGCTGTACCTTTGCAAGAATCAGTTAAAACTTTAGCGACACCAAAGAAAACTTAGCATTTGTGATAATATCATGAAATATTAAAGATTTCTCAGGCTAAAGTCATATTTTTGAAGCAAATCAAAAATCTAACCAAGAAAGCTAACAGCAAGGAAGGACACGGACTATCCTTCTTAGGTGACGATAAATATGATTATAAAATCCTTAAATATAAAATTACTTAAAAAAATCTTCTTTCCTTTAAATATTTTCTACATAATATATAGATTAATATATATCTTTATCTTTATATTTTAATATTTCTATATGAAACCCCCTCCACAAAGCACCACAAAGCGTATCCCAAACTCAAACAGGCGCCCTCAGAAGACACTTTTTAGCCAGCCATCTTCTTGGCCAACTAAAATAAGTGGCTTAGCTGGAGCAACGCTGAAGTGCGCGACAGTTTTGTGGGGCTTTGAGTGGCTGCCCTGGCTGCCCTGGCTGCTAAGGTGATGGCCGGGACAGCCAACGCCACGAAAGTTTTGAGGGCAAATTTACCTTTTGTGTTAATTCCAGTTGCAGTTACCTCGAAGAGAGGGTGTTGGACTTGGGCTGGCTTTTCCTTTCTTGGCCTGCAAAATGGAAGAAAATCAAATATTAGCCATATTAGTTTTTTGCTTTTTAGTATTTTTTCTTAGCACTTAATGAAAAGAAGAGGAGAAAGTTAGGGGCGGAGGTGAGGCAAACGACACATTAAAAGCATTTCTAAACGATATTTGCATAATTTTAGTTGGCATTTCAAAATTTTTTGGCACAGAAACAGCAACAGAGAGGCCTTTCATTAACTTTCGGCTATTTTTGTATGCCATCATCCCGATGATGAACCGACCTGGGATATAATTATTATTCTACCACCCCCTCCCACCTTCTTTTTTTTTCCAGAAAAAAAAAAAACGAAAAACCGTAAACAAATTTCTGTCGCTGTCGCTGCAAAGTCCCCAGGGATGAATTCATTTCAAGACGCTTTCTTTATCTTTTTTGTGTTTTTTTGTTTTGTTTTTTTGCTTTTGCCCTTCTTGGGGGCAGGTGTTTGTTGTCCACACAACAAGGCAACACACACACTCACTCGCACACCTTATACATACCTACAGTATATATATATATACAAAGTATACTTTTACATTCACAAAATATCTTTGTTTCTGGTGGCTTTGTTGCTTGGCTTGTTGCAGCTGAAAAAGATAACAGGAGCGAGAAGGAATGGAGTGATGTCCTTGCCAGGATACCAGCCCAGCCCAGCCCAGCTCAGCTCAGCCCACCTGGGACTCACAACAGGACAATACAATACACACACAGATCCTATCGCTGACTCAGGAGAGGGGGCAAGGGCGATGACGATGACGAGGACGAGGGCGAGGAAAGTTCATTGGGTGACGATGACAGCAAATTGCATTAAATGAACTAGAAGAATGCCTCCAGGCGAGACTGATTGGAGACCTGCCGAGCCATTCAAATGTAAAACAGTAAGTGAGCTGCTGAAGGGCCTCCTCTTCCACTTTGCGACTCCGCTGGGGGACAAGGATAAAAGGAGTTTTGAGGGGGGGAGAGAGAGAGAAGGAAATCTTACAAGGGAAAATGGGGAATTTCTTTCGTAAAAGGAAAAAGCTAACCAAGATGGGAGTTACTTACTGGGAGGTAATTGGGGAGTGTTTTAGTCCAGAAAGTTCGATTACTTTTTGATAATTTTGGTATTACTAAAAATAGTTACTCTATAAAACACTTTTAGTCTGAGAAAGAAGTCTATTTCCACCTTAACTCATAGGCTAGTCTATGAATATCGCTAAAATAATCCCTAAAACCGATCCATTTCTATATTTTTAAACATCAAATCACCTCACTAATGAGCTTTTTCCATCTGAAAAAGATCTCTCATAGACATAGACACTGGCACGCTGCTCATCCATTGGGCCACCACCAGACAGCCGCCACAATGTTTCCCTGGCAACCAAGCAAGTCCTAGGTCTCAAGTTAATGCCCTCCATCCGTTCCTACCTAACCACCATTAAACCTTGTCATCTTTTCTAACCACCCACACACACTACCTACCCCCCTCAGAGGGGCCAACTCTTCAATATCTGGAAAATCTGAGGACACTCCACCACCACCACCATCACCACCACCAGACCAGGCAGCATTAACCGCAACATTTTCGTCCTGTCAGCAGAATTTTGGGAACAAACATCGTTTATACTTCTCCATTGGTCATGGTCATGTCCATATATATATATGTCTCTATATATACCTACGATCTTCTATGAATCCAGCATCCATAAACTCATACCCAACCCGCAAATTGTCACTGCCGGCTGGCTAATCAATTGTATGGACTTTTGGCTTCAGTTTCCCAGTTTCCCAATTTCATTTTCAGATTTTCCCAAGTTTCCGCAGAAGGAAGATGTGAGCAAATTTTTGGTAGGCTCGCTGCTCTGCCTGTGGTTTCGTCGTCGTATTTGATTTAGAAATTTGCAGGTAATGAAGCTGTTTAATGTCCTGGCCAGAGCACGAAACCTGCTCCTGGCCTAGAGTCCTGCGGCTAGCCACTCTCAACTAACTGGTCCCCCGTTTCCGCTTGTCTCCTTGTCACCAAGGACCAAGTACCAAGGACCAAGACATTGCGGTTTGAATGAGGAACAGGAATAGAGGTTAGGTTAGGGAGGCAAGGAAGCAAGTCCTGGCCAGTGATGTCATAAGTAGCGAGACATAAATTAACGCAGGATACCATATCTGTTTCTCAAATGCGGTTGTGTGGGTGGATCTATGTGGTCTATGAATTGGTGTGTGTGTGTGTGTTCATGTCACTCACATGACCAAAAGGAAAAGGCGGCGGCTCCTTGTTGATTAAATTTTAAAGACAATTTTCCGATTGAGCGAGCCCAAAGCAATTATCCTTTTGCCATTCGTAAGGAAATCATTGGTGGTGGGGAGGGAAGGGGAAAGGCCTGGAAAATTTGATACACCAATTGTCATTGAGTGTGTGTGTCTGTGTGTGTGTGCGTGTCTCTCTCAGTTGCAACTGCTGGCAACTTTCGCCTCGAATTCATTTGCAATTAAACGCATAAACATTTTAATTATGCCAAAGCTTCGTCCGGGAAAGTTTAAGCTCCCCTCCCCCTCTCACAAAACCACTTCTTAAGCCCCCGCCCCCCTTAAACTCCCCTCCCCCCACCCACCTTCTACCACGCTTCAGCGCTCTTTGTTTGCCAAGTTTTTGGCGCACATGCATAATGAAAACTTTCCACGGCATTGTGAGTGCAAGGCAAAAGTCGACTGAGCAAAAGTCTGGCTATCAATTTGTTTGTTTGGCCTTTTGTCGGTGGATGGCTGGATGGTGGATAGTGGGTGGTTGGTTGGTAGGTTGGCGAAAAAGAGGGCCCCGAAACAGGTGGGGCTTGGCTACTACTAAGCCGCAGAGGCTTAGGCAGCAGCTTAATGAATTTACATAACGCTCACAAATCAAAAGCCAAAAAACGAGAACAGTAAAACTCAACTTTGCGCCACCGCAAGATGAAGTGAGGCGAGGCGGAGCGACGGCTCTAATCAGCTTGAGGGGAAAACTTTGAACCGAAATTATGCGAGTTTTGAGTTATTAAAAAGGCGCAACCTTAGAAGTCAAATCCTTAGAAAAATACGCAATAAATAAAAAGCAACAACAAAGAAACAGGAAATAAATGAGAAACTTTTGCCAGGGCGCGCCAAGGCATTCATCAATGACAAAAGTTGTGGGGTGGGTGGAGGTGGAGGGGGAGTTGGAGGGGCTAAGAAAATCAAGCTGCTGCCGCTGTTGATTTTTCCGCCTTCCATTGATAATGACGACAATGACAATGAGCAGCGAAATTGAATTGTGCAAAATTAATGTTTAAAATTGAAATGAGAAACTGGTCGAGAGCCGGCTGACTGCGTTGACATATTTTCATTAAGACACCAAAAATCAATTGGGTTGTGGAATGGTGGGTGGAGAAAAGAGGGGGGGGAGAATCCCAAGCAAAGTTGTAAATCTTCCATAGCATAGCATACTTATGCGGGCAGGCAATTATTTACAAAGCAACCAACTTCGGGTCGCCAGTGATATATGAAGAGGAGCAGCAGCAGCCTAGTAGTCTTTCAACCAATTATTAGCTGACCCCAAAAACAGACAATTGGCCAACAATTTTTATATGTCTGAATGTGTGTATAGAAGTGTGTGTGTGTGTGTGTTGTGTTTTTCCACCCCGTTGGACCTTGGCAATAAAATTAAAAGTCGCAACCGCCAAGAACTGGGCGCTCGGTGAAAAAGGTCCTTCCACTGTTTTGGCTTTGTGTAAAACGAAAGGTTTTTCTTCTTACGCTGCTATTTATGTGTGTCATGTGTGTGTGTGTGTGTGTGTGCTCACTCACACATACTCGGCTAAAAGTTGAATTTATTACCCCAACTCCTCACCCTTTTTTCTTCTCAGGCAGGCAGGCATCCCTCGCGTACATATCTCTTTCGTATTTGTCTTGCGCTTTTGTTTTCAGCCCCTCTTTCTTTTCTTTTCTTTTTCCTTTCTCTCTACTTTTCTGTTTTTCCACTCCGGTCCAGATTTTCCACCCAATCTGCGCCTTCTACTTTCCCCTCCCCCTGCCAACGCCACTGCCACACTGCCACTGCATTTATTTCACTTGATTTTCAAACGAGATTTATAAGTTGCGCGTCGCGTCGTTTATTTTGTTTTAATAGCAAAGCAATTTCAAAAATATATAAAGACATTACGAGTCTGTATGGGTGAGTATCTCTGTGTGCGTGTGTGTGTGTGTGTGTGCCCCACAGCGTTTGCCAAGGCCTGAAAGCATCCTGCAGTATAGTATTTCCTTAGGCCAGGTTATATACATAGCTCGTTCTTTTCATTATGATGGCGAGGAGGAAGGGAAGGGGGGTAAAGTTTAGCAAAAGTATTTTTGGCAAGGACAAGAAATGTGAAAGGGGGGCTAGGCTAGGCTAAGGACTCTCCACTATCTTTACTATTGAAAATTATTGATAGAAGAGCAGCGCAGCTCTTAAAATGGATTACAATAATTGAAGAGCGCTCTGAGGAGTAGGAGGATGGCCAACTTTTCCTTTCATTGTGAACCAACTCAAACCCCCCTTCCCCACCCCTTATCCACACTCTGCTAACCCTGTCGTGACCTCCTTTTGGGATCGTGAGAAGCGCTTAGAAGGACGCGCCGAGTTCATAATTGCCGTTGTTCTCTCCTTACCACCAAACTCAAAATCAAAACGAAAACCAAATCGAAATCGAAGGGAATCGAATCGAATCGAAACGGTTTGAAAGGAGCGAAGAAACATAAAGGAAGGACTTCTTATTTGGTGGTATCCTTCCTAGGGAGGGATACGTGCATGTAGTGTGACCAGCTGTTGTCTTCGCAAAAGCTCGATAACAATCCCAAACGGCTTGTTACAATAACTACAGGCTGCGCGCACGATGGGGACGACCTTATCATTTACGGGCAAAGTCAATTTGGGGCCAACACATGTCCGGGTTCGCACGACTCGATATTAATAAACACTTAAGCCCAAGGATATGTACAAGGACAGCGGGGAAGAGTAGAGCACTAGAGCTGGGACAGAGTTCTGTCGACCGCAATACACAATGTCCCTCGAATCAGGGGGGCTGCTCCTCTTCCAGCTCCTCTCTGCCAGGATGTGACACATGTGACTTAAAATGAATGGCATCGTTTGCGGATGACAGGCGACGACCACGACGTCGTCGTGGTTCATCTTCTAGGGAGAAGGAGGAGGCGCTGAAGCAGCAACCTTGTTGCCAGATATTAAATTCGCAATACCCAAAACTGCCAGACGTTTGGCCAAATAATGCGTATTTCATTAGAGTCCAAACAAAAGTGGCGACAAACTCAGGACAGGACAGAACAGACAGCCTGGTGGCTACTAGCTCTTCCCTAACCCACATCATCCTCGTCCTCCTCCTCCTCCTCCTCTCCTATCCTATCCTATCCTACTAGCCTTACTTTTCCAAACAACCGATCCAAGTAGGTGTCCTCTAGCCGCTTAGGTTTATTTTTCACTCAGCCTAATGAGATGTGTTCTTATGGGCTCTCATCTATCTTCATCCATCTTCCATTTCCCCTTTCCCTCCCCTCTGCCACTGGCTATCATCCCCAACCCCACATAACTTTCTTTTATGAATTATGGCTGATAATGTTCGACAATAGTCATCAAATCGAAATGACAACCTTTGTTAAGCGAAACTATTTCCTGGGAATTTCCACACAGTTCATCAATGTTTCTCCCCATTCTGACACAAAAAGGAAAGCAGCTGCTTTCTCGTTATTAAGCTTTAGACTTTAGACCATGCAAAGTAAGCCACTTGCTGGCATGGTATCTCACCACCGGCAGCTTAGACTTTCTTTTGACCATTTGATCTGCTCTTCGGAGAGGGAATCAAGTCAGTTTTTGGTCCAACATTAAGCTACCAGCAGAAGCCTCACTTCGAGACACGAAACGAAACGAAATTTTATATCCCATAAAAATATCAAATAAAAATGTCTGCCAAACATTTCCTTGACATTTTCGAGGCTTTTATCTGGCTTTTAGCTTTGGATTTCTTGTTGCTATAATACCGTTATGTTTTCCCAACATTTTCCAACACATTTTTCCCCACACAAAGTGAAGTAATTTCTGGTTGATTTTCTTTACAAAAGAAATGCAAGAATTGAGCTTAAATTATCATCCTCACACCTTGCAGTGTAAAACAGGTATAAAAATTCAATAAATTTTGAATTAATTTTTCATCTTAACCTATTTGACAGCCACAACAAGGTAGGCCTAGTGAAAAATCCATCAAAGAAAACGTCACACGTCAGCTTTTCTAGGACTGAGAACTGGAAAACTAGAAAATCTAAGCCATGTCCAGATTAATCAGCATTAGCCACAGCCAATTTATCTTCTATGCACTGCCAATGCATATGCATTATGGGCCAACTTGTGGCAAATTAAAGTGCAACAGCAGAAAGAGCAGCAGCAGCAGCAGCAACAGCAGCAACAACAGCATATCGCTGGCGAGGCATAAGCTCCGATTTCCCTCCCAATTTGGCCAACCGAGTGCGAGCCGTGGTCTTCCCAGCTTTCACAACGCCCCCAAAACCCATTGTTTCCTCGAAAGCATGAAGAGGAAAAGCAGTAGCTAAAGCAAAGGCCAAATTGTAGCGATAGGGATGGTAGATGGGGTGGTGGTGGGATAGAAGAAGCGAGGGTGCAAAATTAATTATACACGCATACATAGACAAAGGCTAAAAAGAGGGGGGAGCTGGGAAGGGAGGGAGGAGGACACCTCATAATAATCACTGGTGGCATGTGCTAATACGATAATGGGCGACCAGTTGGCAGATTCCACATCCCCACGACATGGGGCACATGGTCTACCATCCTCTTACTCCTCCTCTTACTCCTCCTTCTCCTCATCCTTTTCCGCCAAACACTTTTTCTGCTGTGCTTTCCCTTTCCTTTTTTCCTTTTTTGCTATCTGTTTTATTACCTTTTTGCTATTTATTTATTACCACTACGAACACGAACACACACACACCCACACACACACACACACATGCCATGTTCCTGATATTCCACAACACATCCGCATCCGGCACGCCCCCTCTCTCCACACTCCCCGCCTTGCCGCACTTTGAGGCCCCATAAACAAATATATTAAATTTTAATGCTTAATTTATGTGCAGATTAATTTCGTACATTTTTCGAGGCGCAGATTAGTTTCCCACCGCCCGCCCTCCTCCACCACCTTTTCGGCTCCACTAACCGTTAGTAGTTCCGACATTCTGATAAGTAGTATGGGGGCGTGGCATTTCCCCTTAAACGCCAGCTAAATGAATTTTGTATGAATTTTTCTCGTTTAATGCGTTCAGAAATTTTGAGCGGACAAGCAGCAGGGCCAAGGGAAAGTGAAAGTGAAAGCCAAGCAGGCGCGCGGGCAGGTGGTAAGAAATACCAGAAAGTAAAATCAGAAATATTTCCCCTAGAAACCACTTTATTTCTCTCAGTGTATTCGTTTTTATTGCTTTTTTCCATGAAAGCTGACAATTTGGCGTTAGGACGACAACAACAGCAAGCAAAAATTTGTATACAAAATTCATGCCAAAATTTGAGAGTCAGTGTAGTGTCGCGTGTAATGTCAAATTTTGAATCATGAATTTTGTTTCTTTTTTGATGTTTTGTGGTTGGAAGAGAGTGGAAGTATTAAAAGTGTAAAGAAGCTTCTTTCCTAGCAGCAGCTTGTTTTCTTAAGTGTACGAAAGAACCAAGGACTTCCTTCTTCATTCTTCATCCTCAAAGACAAAATCATCCGTTTCGTACCAAATGGACACCAAGGGAGGCAGGGCGTACGACTCATCAATGTCAATGGTTTGGTTGACAGCGCCACCTACGCCACCGCCACCGCCACCGCCACCACCACCGCTGCCTTGATTGTTCTCAGATTCATCATCATCATCACCATCAACACACCAGCTGCCCAAAGATTCATTATCACCGACAATGGTCTGATCGAAATCAGAATCATCCGATGGCACTTTGGTGTTGTCCGATTGGATCGATTCAGTCTCGCCATAATCTAGCGAAGAGCCAGCATCATCACCGACTGGGAGACGACCCAAAAGGAAACCACCACCCGATACCCCTCCTAGATTGTTCGGATTGCTCGATGATCCAAGCTCCAAGAGATTGTCCAACAAGGCGCTAATATCACGATCATCATCACCGCCATTGTACTGGGAAGCCTCCAACGAATCCCCACCAGCCTTGGGATCTTCTTCCTGACGGTTCAGGGCGAACGCCTTGCCAGCCTCTTCGGCCATGGCCAACATCTGTTGGGCCTTCTTGTTGCGATAGCGAAGGCGTTGACGTGGCTTCTTCGGCTTTTTGGCTGCAAGCGGCTTCTGCTGCTTAATTTCTTGGCAAGACTTTTGCTGCTGCTGCTGCTGCTGCTGCAGCTGCTGGCGCTCTCGCTCTCGCTCTCGCTCTATTTCGCGCTGCAGCTTTTGCTGTTGCTTCTTCTGCTCCTTCTTCCTTTCCTTTGACAGAAACGAAGAGCTTGTCGGCGGATTGCGAAAGACATCGCCGGTCATCACATAGACACTGCTAGTCACCGAGCCCTGAACCTTCGGCATCAGCACAACAATCTCACTGGAATCTCTCATCTCGAAGATGATCTGATGGATCCCGGGCAGCTGATTCAACGGCAGCTTGGCCAGAGCCATCTGGAAGCGCTTCTCCTCGACCGCTGGCGAATTCTGAACATGCTTATGCTTGCGACGCATCGACCCCTTGCCACCGATGCGCACCTCATTCTCGATTTTCTTTAACTTATTCACATCCATTCTACGAGTTTTCCTTTGCAAAAATCTAACGTGAGAGGTCACTGTTAAGAATCATGAAAATCACTTGGGGAAAATGTTTTCTTCTTTTACCAAAAGTTAACCTTTTCTTTTTTTTTTTGTACTTTTACAGCCAAAATTATTTTTAGTTGCTTTCAGTTCGAGCGAAATGAATAAACTGAGGCTTACGAGGGGAATCAGGTCTGAGCTGGAATTCCTAAAAAGTCAGTGCCTACTTGGGATGGGTTTTTGGTGAAATGAAAAGCCTACTTGGATGGCATTTTGGGAAAATTTCATAAGCTAACCTAACTTTTATTTCGATTATTAAACTCTCATCTTTCAGCTTTCCTCAACATCAAAGGGTAGTTTGGATGGGAAAACCAAAAAGATTGCCACTTTTAGTGTTAATTTTATAAGAAATTCTTTTAAAAATATTTATAAATTTAAGAAAATCTTTTAAAAATCTTTTCAAACTCAACTTTTGTCACTCATCAATTTCCAGAGTTGCCATCAAGTTGTTTCCCTTTTCCTTATCCGTTAAAAGGAGCTCACAAAGTGTCAGATGACCGGAAAAAATACAATTAAAAAGAGGTCAGAGTCCGAGGTACAAGCACTTTGGGTTACTTTTCTTACTCATTCTCCACCACCCACCACCCCTCTTAACCCTACAATGTAGTTGCCATTTGGTCATTTGTCCATCATTTGGCTGTTGAAGCAGGGGCTGGGCTGGACTGGGCTGGGCAGTTGGCTGATTAAATTGCAAGATTTTCACTACTTTAGCGCTGTCATAGCTGACTGGCTGCTGTTGTTGTTCTTTTTGTTGTTGTTGTTGTTGTTGTTGCTGTTGTTGTTGTTGCTGTTGCTGTTGGCCTCGTAAACATTTCAGTGCAATAAACGTTTATTTGATTTTATTTGTTTTAATGCGGCGCTGCGACCTCAAGCCAAACCCGCTGCCGCCTCTTAACTGGGCTCAGTTCAGCCTCTCACTCTCTCTCTCTCTCCCTTTCACTCCCCGTTGCTATCTCTTTTTTTTTGGTTCAACTTGGCTCGATTGAGCGCTTCTGCCAATTGCCAGTGGCTGTTTGCTTGGCGCAGTGGAATGTTTTTTTCCCAGCCATCGTTTGCCGCGTAAAAACCTAGCGGCATTTTTCCCAGCTGCTCATTTGTATGTGTGTGTGTGTGTGTGTGTGGGTGTTTGGGTGTTTGGGTGTTTGGGTGTGTGTATATATATATGGGTGTGGTGTGTGCTTTCTGCTATTGCAAGGATGTGTTGCAAGGATACAACCGCCTACCCTCTCCTCTTCCTTTGGCACAAAAGCCGCACAGTTGTCAATAGAAAAAGAGGAAAACTTTAACTTTGTTGCTGCTGCACTTTCGGCGGCCAGTGAAATGGCCAAAATGGAAAATGAGAAAGTGGAAAGTGGAAAATGCTGGCTCGCGGGTAGATGGGTGTGTGGATGGGTGCTCCTCCTTCCCGCCTCTGCTGAGATGTTCGGCTAAAAAAAGGTCCTTCCTCGAGGGCAGCTCAGTAAAAAACACACAGAGAGACAAGAATGCGGTCATTGTTACGTTTATAAACAGATTGAGGGGGGGTGGGGGGTGGTGAAGGGGACACACACACATCCTGACCGCATTACCAACTGCCAAACTGACCAGAGAAAAAGAGAAGAGAAGGGGAAAAACCAGCCTCAGCCTCTGCCTCAGCCTCAGCATTTTGGTTGGAAATATTTTCTGCAATGCTGCACATTTAAGCCAAAAGTTGAGGTGGAGAGGTAGGTGGTAGCCTTACCTGGCCAATGCCACGCCCCCTTTAGACTGCCATATTTTTAGACTTCGAGTTTTTCCAATGCTCTCGAGCAGCACATTTCGTTAGATAATTTTGGGTTCTTCCTCCTGCTCCTTTCTCCTCCTCCTTCTCCTTTTATTTTTACTTGTTTTTTGTGATTTATAACAAGTGCTAGGATGCTGGGATGCCAGGATGGCAGGTTGCAAGGTTGCCTGGTTGCAAGCTAGCCAGCCAGGAGGGAAATATAAGAAGGTGGACTAGAGAGAGAATCCTGGCAGTGGCATAATCTACAGTTTGTGTTTTCAATGACTGTCAGCAAGTGCATTTGGAGTTATGTCAGCGCTGTAGGAGAAGCGAGAAGGAGGAGGTGGACGGACAACACACGAAGGATGGTTTTAAGCTAAAAATTCCGAGAGAATTTCCACGTGAAGAGAAAGTGTGGAGGAGGAGGAGAAGGAGTGGTAGGTAGGAAGGTGAGCAATGGAGTGCCAACTGGCGATGACTGCATCCTGATTGTGTTGACCACAGTGCCAAAGTGCCCTGGCATCCTGGGGAGCGGAACTCAATCGCCAGTCACAAATGGCAATGAGGCAGCAGCAATGGCAAAAATTGTTGCAGCAGCAGAAGCAGAAGCAGCACTGCCCCAAAGCAAAAGCCAAGGCAACGGAATTGGAAATCTAAATGCACGGAAGTGTTGATGGGAGTTTTATTTCAATTTAATTGGTATCTCTCTCATGGTCCTGTGAATGCTCTGAATTGCAGTCGAAGAACAACTCGAATAAAAAGTAATAAGAACACGAAGGTAATATTCGAAGAATGTGCAAAGGGAAAAGTAAGGTAACAATGCCTGATACAAGTAGATATAGTTTTTGATTTTAGTTTTGGGATTTTTAATTCAAAATTATTGACAAATGACAGGCAGCAAAGTACTTTCCATGACCTGCTAGATGGGAGAACTATTCCTGGCACTATTTTATAGCATACTTTTTGGGGTGTTTCCCCCACAAACAAGACATTTCAGTAATAAAGCAATAATAATCGATAAATTATGTGCTTCTATCGATAACTCCCAAACTAGTTCATCGAATTCTTTATCAAACCACCTTAATTTTTTATCCAAGTGCAGCAGCCGCCTGCCAACAATTGAAATTGCAAAAAGAAAGCCAGCCATCATCTGGTTTTCCCTTTCTATTCTCTACTTTCCACCACTATCCTCCTTTCCACTTTCTTCTACCTTTTCCCCACTTAATTTCCCTTCCATTTGCTTTTTGCCCCACAAAGCAGCAGCAGCAGCAGCAGCAGAGCTGTCAACTGTTTGGCGATAAACAAAGGACCAAACAAATGAACAATTGTCACCTTCTCTGGCTTTGGCCTTCAACTTTCATGGCATGGCATGGTTTGGGATTTCAAAGGAGGTTGACACAGTGGTAGGGGGTTTTCTGCACCCCTCCCCTCCCCAACCCCTTCGATTATACCAGATAAACGATAGAACCTCACATACTGGCAGCAGCATGTAGCTCAGATTCGTTCATCTGAAAATGCATCAAGGAATTTATTGGATGCACTGAAAGAAATCCCTTTTCTTAAGTCTGAGAGTGGAGCTTTAATTAGCAGAACTTAACTGTTAACTTTTCCAATATTCAACTTGCTTTTCCAGTAACCCATTGCTTGGGGAGTTAACTTGTTATTATTCCTTACAAAAATCAAAATATCTCAAAACAAACTACATCCCAGTAACCTAAATTCTTGCCAAGACTGTTATAACATTATTGTTGATTTTCTGTGAGTAAATTGTGTTCAGTGCCTTTGGGTTTTTGCCGGCTTTTGGTGTGCTTAACGTAAGCTGAGCGCTGAATGAGGGGAGCTGAAGGAGGGAACTGAATGAGCTGAGCTGAAAGAGTGAGCTGAAAGAGCGATCCCGTTTCGGACACGTTAAGTTGATTAATTGCAAATTTTAAGAAAACAAACTGCAAGTCAAGACAGCCACTGAAGCCGGCACTGAGAGAAATCTCTGAGGAAGAAGGGTTTTAAAGTCTGCTATAATACCCCCTCTCCACCCCTCCCTACCCTATCACCCCACACTCGACAAAGTGAAGAGAGGAGAGGCTGAAACATTCAAAATGGACGAGGCAACAGCAGCCAGCCGATGAGGCAGGCAAAATTAAATTAAGCAAATGCTTGGCAAACTGTCTGCCACACACACACACACACACACAAGCAGACTTCCATACCAACACACACACACAGTGAAACAAAAGGAAGAAGGCACCAGTGTGTGTGTGTGTGCGAGTGAGGGAAATGGATTTTGGGTTTTTCTGAGGCTGAGTGAACGATTTGCTGGCCGTTTTTTCCTGTCACGCGCGCTTTGTTTGCCATTTTGAAAAATGCCCAATGCACACACACACACACACACACACATGCAGACACACACTCACACATAAAGAAGAAGTGTGGGCAGGAGGATGTACATGTGTATAGCTTCATCCAGCTGTATGTGAGACTCACGTTCTGCTCATAACTGAAATTCAGGCTTTAAAGCTCAACGAGTTCTGGCCAAGAGGGAGAGTGGGAGGAGGAGGAGGGCAGAAGCTGGCGGCTTACAGAACCGGGATGAACCAGACAATGTCCGACAGGCAAACAGGACAAACTGGACAGGGACAGGGACAGAGACAGGACAGGGACAGAGACAGGATAGCCGAGTCTAGGGGACACACCCAATGGTGATGTTGTTATTGCTTCTCATATTTACGTCACCAAAATGCTTAACCCGTTTATGCCATTAAAAGGATTTCACAGGCCGCTGAAGCCGAACCCAAATAGGAAATAGGAAAAGGAAGTAGTACCTACCCTAACAGACCTCTCCCCGCTCCCACCACCACCACCCCTCTTAAACCTGCAGGACGACAATGGCTAGGAAAGTAAAGAAAGAAGTAGAAGGGCGAGAATGCGACTCAGTTAGTTAGCGAGGACAAGGACTTTTCTCAGAGGGATCACAACCCAAAAATCCAAAAGAAAAAAAAATAAAGATGGGGGTTAATGAACGTGCCTAGCCACCGGGCAGGCGGGCGGGCAATGGCCAAAAACATTTCACCACACAACCAAAAAAAAGAAAATATGAGAAAAGGGAAAACCAAGAAATTTCCTTTGCTAAATTCTTCATGACACATTAAATCGACAGAAGGAGTTTAGAGAGAGGCAAAATATTGATTTTTCTGGCCAAGAAATTGAATTTTAAGACCTCTAATGGTCATTCTATTATTGGTTTCTGCCAGTTTGGCATATTTTGAAGATGTTTTGAAAGTTTTTATACTTTTTAGGTTCTTAGGAATGTTTGCGTTCTTCGATTTGTGCTAAGTAAACCTATGAAAACCTTTCAAATATCTC